ATAAGTCCCGACACCACAATCCTGGACAAGCGAGAGGCCTGGAAAGAGAGCGAGATAGAGAGAGCACTCTCAGAGTCTGAGAGTGAGAGCCCCCGGAAGGGCAAAACCCCTTCTTTCTGGTTAACCCTTGTCTTTACCCTGGGCATGACATAGCGTGATACGGAATACTTCATTGGGCAATTTTGCCCTCAATCCTAAATCTAAGTGCAAATCATAAGGGGAGTTGTGGGCCCTTTGTCCTGGCTACACTCCCCCCAGCCTGTTGTGCTCCTGCACACTGGCAAAACATGGGAAGCTGAAAAGTCCGTGAGGTCTCAGCACCAGCTATATACATCAGTGCATTATCAACATCCTTCTTGTAACAAATCCCAGACTAAAACCAAGACACAGAGCTCTTCTAGCTGCTAAAAAGAAGAACTAACTCTGTCCCAGTCGAAACCAGGACACTGTTCTTTAGAATAAAATCAGTAAGGAAAGAGAAATTATGAGAAAAGAAAGTATACTGAGTTCTTCAGTATGCCATCTGTCTATGGAAATTAAACTTGGCACAATTTTTTTTTAACTAGGAAAAAAAGAAATAACTTTAATAGCTCTCATTAGCTATCGCTGCCCTAGAAAGATCGTGTAACTATTCTTTTATTTGTGGGTGTTCATTGTTTGTTTCTACAATGGAGTTCTCCATCATGACTCTTCCATTTTCTCCTTATTTTTCGTGACAATCATTAAGAAAAACTGAACTTGAATCCAGTCTCTTTCTGTACGCAGTCCGTTAAAGAAAAGGGCAAGAATGCTTGTAGCACAAAACACATTAATCCCAGTTTCTCACTGGAAAACCAGGTGAGAAGAAATATTCTTCAGCATGTTCAATCACCAGAGATCATAGAAGTCTCTTGGTAAGATCACCGGCTGTTGGTTTCCCCCTTCTCTTCCTTTACATACTCTGAAGCTGGGGGACATGTATCTTCCACTGCTGTCGTTCACAGCACCAATATATCTGTCATCTTTTTGGCATCTTTGCTGCTTTGATCGCTGCTACGACTCTGCGTGTCGCACTGACTCAGCCTGCCATTGAGTCCACAGTCTGTTCTTTCTTCATCTTCTCCGTGCCGCTTTTGACAGTAAGTGGGGATGCTGCGAAGCAGCTGTTTGCTGCTGTGAAAAAGACTCAGATGATGATTTGAAGTTGCCGTTGTTTTACCCAGGGTCTTCTGTGCAGAGATATAGAAGCACACGCAGGGAGTTCAGCACACGCCAGATGTGACTGGATGTCTGTGAACGCACTGTCCAGTGCCGGTGCGACCAGCCAGATGTCCGCAAGAAATGTGAGACTCACTCACTATATGCCACGGGATTTATCTGTGCGTGAACAGGAGCTGCAGCTTCCAGATGCCTGCAGTGAGGCTCTTACTCTCCAATATTACCTCACTCACTTAATCAGATATTTCTCCTTTAAAGCACTGGGTAAAGATCTGTATTATGTTAGTGAAATAAATGTATGAAAATACATTCAGTATGATCAGAAACTTGTTTCCGTGTGGCTATCAGAAATAATGCTGTGAGGCATTTGGAAGAAAGAAGGAAGACCTTTGCTTTGGGGTATAAATTGCTTATGACATGCCCAGAAGTCCTATCTACTTGCTGTATTTGTTTCCGAGAAGTGTCTAATACTGGACGAGATTCTGGACTGGAGAAATTGAGAGTTTGATTTTGTCCTTCTCTTGTCCAGATACTCACTATGTAAGAGATTTGGTATCATAGAAGGGTTTGGGTTGGAAGGGACCTCAAAGATCATCCAATTTCAAGCCCCCTGCCATCAGCAGGGACACCCTCCACTACACCAGGTTGCTCAAAGCCTCATCCCACCTGGCCTTGAACACTTCCAGCGGTGGGGCAGCTACAACTTCTCTGGGCAACCTGTTCCACTGCCTCACCACCCTCTGAGTGAAGAATTTCTTCCTTAGATCTAATTGAAATCTCCCCTCTTTCAGTTTAAAGCCATTGCCCCTTGTCCTATCACTACACGCCCTTGTCAAAAGTCCCTCTCCAGCTTTCCTGTAGGCCCCCTGTAAGTACTGGAAAACTGCTATAAGATCACCCCGAAGCCTTCTCTTCTTCAGGCTGAACAACCCCAACGCTCTCAGCCTGTCTTCATAGCAGAGGTGCTCCAGCCCTCGGATCATCTCCATGGCCTCCTCTGGACCCGCTCCAACAGTTCCATGTCCTTCTTGTGTTGGGGACTCCAGAGCTGAACGCAGTATGGCAGGTCACATAAATCCAGATCACTGTTTCTCAGAGAACTGCTTTGATGTGTGTGTTGTTTAGGATTCCCAGGAGAGCTTGGAGACACATTTTATGACTTCTAATATTCTACGTGGAGGGGTTACACATCAAAACAGATGTGGAAATGAATGGCATTCATTACATTTGATCTCGCTTTGCTGCTCATGACCTGTTCTCTAATACTCCTTTTGGGCAGTAAACACAAGGTACATATTTATCCTTCTGAAAAGAATATTACAATGAGCAGGGCAGATGTAGTACAGGAGACAGCAGCATGGTGGCCCGATAAGTTAGAATACATGGTTTGATGGTTCACAGCTCTGCCATGGTCCTGCCAGGTCATCTTCAGGAATTCATGTACATATGTTTTGCTTCAGTTTCTGTGCCTCTAAAATGGAAATAGCAATGAGAAGAGCAGAGGAAGAAGTTAGTGTGGATAGGGGGAGCGCTGTCTGCATTTGCTTTCTTTTTCAACTAAGAGAAATCTTTGAAGGGAGCTTCGGAGTCAAACAGGTCTTCTTTCCCTGGTTTTGACACTCCCCCTCTCTTTCACCCAACTTCAAGCTATTTTTGTTTTCTGTCAATTTCTCATCTAGAGAGATATCAGAAAAAGAAGAGTGGTTTTCCTTCTGTATGGATAAATAACCACTTGATTCAAATGCACCTTTCCCTCTCGAGTACTTATGCAGCCCCAGTTCTATGTTCTTAGTGTCTCAGAGTGTGGATTGTTTTTGTGGTCTCCACACCTGAGCTGGAAAGATACGGTGAGGGAAAGGAAGAGTCAGAATGAATAAAACAAGGTTTTCATATAAGCACTATCCTGGAAGTGAGATTCAACATCCGACTAAGCACCAAAGTTCCCCACTCGGTGTCTGGAGAGTCAGAAGTTTGTTACAGAGGCTCAAAACCAGCAGCCATTCTGCAGAGAGAGCTTCAGCACTGGCCAAAAGCAGGGGCCAAAGACAAGGGCTGTCAGGGATGTAACTCGGATCCAACAACCTGAATCCTGCTCAGACCTGGTCTCAAATGAAGGGAGTAAAAGAAGCTCCAAGACACATTTAGCTTGACGTATTGAATAATAATAAACAGAGCAGTGTGTAAACAAGCCTAATCACCTGCTTACCCTTCAGGGGAAAACTGCACAAAAAAAAAAAAAAAAAAAAAAAAAAGCACAGAAAATGGCAGTCTATACCTGATTTTTCAGTAAGAAAGAGAGGGAAATGTGTAAATTTGTCTTAAACTAGTGACAAAAATGGAAACTGAGGTCCTTAACCTTAGCACAAGTTTCTGTGATTGATCCAAATGTTACCAGCCATTTTATTTTATTTTGTTTGGCCTTCTCATGCCAAAAAGAAACTGAAAAAGTGCAAGTAGACAATAGCAATGCAATTCAGTGATCTGTATGGAAATGATGTAACCTGGAGCATGTAGGTGAACTGTTACTTGTTGCTTTCCATGTGGACTTTCCTTCTCTGTGAGAAAAAACTCCTTCTCAAAAGTCTCTTTACCTTTTTCAAAGGCTGTTGTCAACAGCACTTTTAGAAACGTTCAATCTGATGCTTTAATTTGACATCTTCTTTTCCTGATGACTGGGTGCTGACCTAGCACTGAATGACCATGGCAAAAGCCCAAGGAGAAATGGGGTAAAAGGCAACAAGAACATCATGAAGAGTTCATTAGGAAGTTGTCTGTATGTGTCCTTTGGGGATCTTTCTGAATTTCCTGTTTTATTTTAATTCTCTTGTTTCTAAGACACAGTTCAAAATAGGCATGAAAAAAAACTGTTGCTTGGGATTGGATGTGCTTTTGATGAGTGGAGGAAGGCAGTCTGTACAGCAAAACTCCATAGTTTTCTCTCTGAGTGCCTTGGGATGAACAGGAGTGCTTGCCAGAAGTTGAACTCCCCTCCTCACCCCCAATATTACTACATAGTTCCCAGAGCTCCTCAGGGTGACATTGCAATTGCACATGAAATCTCTCTGCTTCAGTAAAGTAATTCGTGATTTTCACTTATGCTCTGGGAGAGCTGGCACCTTGGAAAAAGATCAGAAGTGGTTTCATTTTCACAGAGAATGGGTGAACACATCCTAACCAAGGTGTACCCATTTCTGAAATCTTTCCAGAGATGTTCTTTTGTTGCCTGCCCATCCTGCCTGCCCTGGGACTGGGAGATGTCGTTATCTTGCTCCTTTTTCAGGTTCTTTGCAGAAGTTTTACAAATAACGTTGGTGCATAGGAAGACTCTAGAAAATCAGTATCTCCAGGAATGTTTCTTCTAGTTTACAGTGGGATAAATGGGAGGGAAGTAGAGCAATAAGTTTACCAAACACATACCATTCTCCTAAATGGAGCATTAAAGACCTAAACTTTTCTGCCCATTTTTGAATACATCATTTAACTGCTTTTTAAAAGACTATACTAGCATTAAGCTTTCTCTTGCAACATTCTTCCGTACTTTTGCTGTCTTCTGAGCCCATGTGCTGTAAGAAAACATTATCAATAAGTATCTTGAAATATTTGTTGTCTCTAGATGTGTTTATGTCCTTTATTTCTCCTCTTCCCTCCTCAGCAGGCTGTTCTGGTCCTCGCAGAGGTGGGATAAGTTGATTTGCCTTGTGAATGATCTGTTCTGTTAACCTTTTCTTAAATCTGTGAAATTGCTAGGCTGTTTAAAGACCAGCACAGAGCGTTCATCTCTCTTTTGTTTTGGTCCATACCAGGAAATGCCTACAGAGAATGCCTGGGCAATGGGACATGGGCTTCCAAGATAAACTACTCTCAGTGCGAGCCTATTCTGGACGACAAGGTCTGTATTTTTCCCTTCATTCTTCTCAATGACATTTCTCATGATGCATAAATGCGAAGCTAAGCTTAAGGTTAGCATATTAATTTGGGACTTCTGAGACAGATTCCATTTCTGTCTCTGCAACAAATCCTCCCTGTGAATTCAGGCAAATCACTTATCCTCTCTCCATATCCCCTACTCACATGGTTTTTAAAAAAGGATGCTTTATTACGCTCTGTCCCTGATGATGTATGTTTATGCAGATCCTTTCTAGCTTTGTTCAGAGCCTACAGCTGCTACAGTAAATGTTAGTAATAAAAACAAAAAGACCAAAAGCTTCTTTGGTACTGAAAAATAAGCTTCCACCAGCTGATTCCGCCCTGTACCTATCAGTTCTGAGGTCTCATCAACAACTGGCCTTTCCAGATCTCAGTGTTATTTTTCCTTCAGCAAATATGTGAAGGGGCAGCAGCAGAAAAACACATAAAAAGCAGACTTGGGTCCCAGCTGTCTTTAAAAGATTGAGCCAGTCTTGCATTATATAGGAGTTTACAGAATGAAATTAGCATGTAGGGTTAAGCTCCTTCAGGAAGGCTGCAAGCAATTATGCAAAGTCCTTTTCTTGTCAAATGTCTCAGCTTTCCTTGGAGGCATCATAAACATTCATCCTCACACAGTTTAGACCTTCAAGCCTTTCATACCATGTTCTCTTCCTCCTATTTTGAGTGCTATGGTGGGATGTGTAAGCACACATAGGCTTTGTGCTGTCTCTCTGCCAGGAGTGACTTTCCCCCTAAGAACCAGAGTGGAACCCGGCAGCTCTGGCCTGTTTATGTTTTGGGGTTCATTCCATTCATTCTGCCACTGGAGTTGTGCCATGCCGGTTGCAAACGGAGAGGAAGAAGACAGTCTCACCTGCTGAAGGCTGCTTGCGGAGCTAATCCGGATTTAGTACTCAGGAACTATCCAAACTGGTGCTATACCCAGAACAGTCGTGATGTGCTTTGGCTGTGGCTCAGCATCCATCCTGTAGGATCCGTGTCGTTGCTGAGTGTGGGCTTTGACAAGTGAATCAGAAAACAGATAACTACACACCAGCTGCTGAGGAATGCCCACTCTTACCCACTGGCTAGGTAATTTGGTGGTAGCCCACCCCCCCACACACACCTCCATCTGCTAGAGGCTTCTAGAAAGTAAGAAAAAATGTACCAGTGCATGACTGCCATCCAGAGGGGCTGATACACATACAAGGTGGTCTGGCACAGTGGAGAGGCTCCCATGGCAATTTAAGCTGACCTAAGTTGGGACCATCCCACTGCAGCCCCTCCTTACATTTCTTTCCCACTTTATGTGAAAAACTAACTTTTTGCTGGGTACATTTTCAGATGGATCAGTTCCCTAAATCATCTTATTGCAGGAGCGCCGGTGGCCAGCACAAGCAAGGGGAGTGAAAGGGTGGCTGGAGTGGAGGGGGACAGCAGACCATGACAGCAGATCATCTCTGACTGAATTGGATTTGCACTTCTGTGAATCCACCCTCTTAAAAATGAGTAAGAGGGGATGTATGTCGCAGCCAGTGCTGAGATGGGGAATGGGGAACAGAGCTGGGTGAAGACTCAAAATCTTTGGTGTGGTTTAACTGGTATGGAGAACCTGAGCTGATAGTAGCAGTCTACTGTACCAGCTCAGGAAAGTGCTGCTGTATTTTAGTGACACTCTGTGTGTGTTTGTCTGCATGACTTTAACAGTGGTTATCTCTGCTCAAGCAGATAGAAAGGAGTTTTATTTGAAGAGGCTGGAGAAGTGTTGGGACTAGAGGACAGGATTATTTCCTTTGCTCTGTTCCTGCTTTTAAAAACTTTGCAGCTATGGTGATAGCTTAAAACTTCTTAAATAGCCTGTTTCTTAAGCAGATGAAAGTGCAGATGTTCCCCCACCCTTGTTTGCAAAAGCTTAAAAACTCATTTATTAGATCTTTAAAGATTTGTGACAAGCTTTACAAATATTAATATTTGTGAATAGTTTTGAAATCTCTTCATAATGCTCAGTGTTACAGATGAATATTTGGGTTGTTTTGTGATCTCAAAAAAAAGAAGAAAAGAAAAATCCCCACGGATTTCCCTAATCCTCCCTTTTGATTAAAGGTGAGATGCAAGCACACGTGTGGGTCTGCTGTTATTTATTGACTGATCCTAGCAGATGCTATGCATCAGCCAGGAAGTACCCCATGTTTCATGTTTATTTTTAACAACTCTACTTTCAAGCTTGGCCACTCAGCCAGAGTACTAAAGAATTACATGGTCTGACTTCAAATGCCATGATTGATACGTGGGACAGGAACAGGAGTTTTCAAGATCAGCCCCAAGTCCAGTGCTACATGCTTTATGGCAGAGGGTTGGTAGTGTAGAAATGGAGATTTTAGGTTTATTCAGTTGTGGGTCAGCTCCTGTAGCAAACATTCACTGATGGGTTGCATCAATACATCATTGCTTTACTTGTGGTCAAGACATGTGGCAGTATCTGATAGAACTGTGCTCTGGGACTGCTTTGCTCCTGGATTCCCACTTTGACTGGGATCTAGTTGCCTGTATGTAGTTATGCAGTGTAATTTAAAATGCCCTGATGTGTTTCCATGCATCTGGCAGGTGTGACAAAGGCTTTTGGGAATACCTGTGTCCTTCAGCAGCAGCAGCTGGAGGTCAGTCACCAGGACGGACTAGGAAGCATAGAGTCTCTCCCAGGTGCACCTGAAGGGCACTGGATGCCTGTGTGTGCTTAACTTTCTAGCCCTTGCTTCAGATATTGGTTCAGATGTCGGGTAGATGCCCAAATGTAGGTGTCCTAACATCAGACTGAATCCCATCCTCTGAACGATCAGTTAACGCCTCTCCAGGCACAAGAATCAGGTACAGAAACCATTTTGATCCAACTGGCTGTTTGATGGCGTAACGTGCGACAAACAGAAAGTTTCTGCTCAGCCTACAAGCTCCTGTGTCAAAGGGACCTTGGCTGCATCTGGCACAAAGCTGTGCTCTTTCTAGGAGACAAATAAGAGTCTCAGGCAGCAAAAATTACATCTTAGCCTCCAAAAAGAGCTATAAATTAGGAACTTTGGTCATGGCTATGTGGCGTTTGGCAGCTGGATATGAATTTGGCTCTGCTAATGTTTTGAAGTGGCTTGAAGCTGTGTAGCTGAGTTAGCAGCACGCTGGGATTAAGTTAATGCATCCTGCTCAGGAGCACGGTCACATTCGCCACAGCTACCCGGCTTCCAGCTGGCTCAGAACAGCAAAGCAGTGAACTCAGAGGCATCTTGGAGGACAAAGATACTTCCCAGTTGCTTCTGAAAGTCTTTGGAGAGGAGATATGGTGTCTTTAAACTGGATTGGTGATGAGATCATTCTGGCAACAGGGAGAAATCTAAAGTGACTGAACTGGGAAGGGAGTGCAGAGCTTTGCGGGAAGACGTGTGCTGTAAACACTGGCAGGACTGCTCAGGAAGTTCTTTTACAGGGAGAAAGATCCTTGTCATCTGGAGAGCTAAGAGTGCTGTTAGGTGGTTAATAGTTCAAATCATTAGCTGATTCGGTTTGGACAGGTTAGCAGTCACGTCCTAGCTAAAGCAAAGGGAAAAAGTCCCGTGGACAGAATCCCTCATGAGCCTGCATGGAGACCAGTGTGCCTTAGATTTTTCTGCGGGTGCAGATAAAGACATAAGGCTGTGCTTCCTCAGGTTACCTGGTAGAAGCTGACTGGAAGATAACTTTGCACAGTCTGATGTAACATGATTGTCATGCATAAGGCATGGAAGAGGACTCCAGTGATGTGACCTGCTGTGGTCCAGGGAGCAAGGCTGACAGAGTGTCCAGATCCCCCTCCTTCTCCATCTCCTTTCTACTGTAAGGACCCTCCTCCTAAGCCTGAATGGGATTTAAATCTGCATTTTAGTGGAGTGAAACAGCTTCCTGGAAGCAGAGGAATATTGAGTAACAGTAGAAGGTCGTTACCATTTTAAATGTATCAGTCTTCAAGAGGGTGAGACAGAAAAGAGTTATGCAAGTATTTTACATGAACTGAGCTTTTGCCAACACATGACTGATTCTGGGCACATGTTTTTCAGCCCTGAAGATGTTGTCTCCAGTTCTATCAGAGATGCAGATTGCGTGTAGGCTGGTGGAAAGTGATCTTGCCACCCTGTCAGCTTAGTTTTTCTGTAGGCACCGAGGCAGTTTTTGTTTCTATCATATTTGAATTTGCCTTCAGGAAACCTTGCTAGTGTCAGCAAGAGAAGAATAAAAGTCATGCCTGGTTTTCCCTCAGCATCAGTGCATCAAGGAGGAGCTTAATTAAAGTTTTTTTCCAATTAATTTTCCTGTCTTTTGAACCATGCCTTCTTAAAACTTGAGTGAAGTTGAAATAGTGCTTAGGAGCCAAGGGAGGGAGCTGAAGGGTCAGATTCAAAAAGCAGGATCCTTGGCCTGGGAGAAACATTTTAATCTTCTAGAAGATTTCTAGCACTACATAAGCAATTCTGGATGATGCTTTTAGTCATGTGGTTTACTTTTAGGTAGTCCTGCGAGAAGCAGGGAGTTAGACTTGATGATCCTTATGGGTCCCTTCCAGCTTGAGATATTCTATGATTCTGTGAATTAAGTGGGAAAGTAAATAAGCAAGGCAGTTTGCCAGGATGCTATCGAACAGTATAACATTGCATTTCAGGTGGGTACATCAGTTCATACGTGTTTTCCTCCCCTGCAGGTGTCCTGGTGACTTGAGGATAAATAAAACTCAGTGTGGAATTCAGATCTTGTGGGTTTGGTTTTTTTTTTCTCCTCCAGGCTATTCAGAAAATGGGCCTGTGTATGGAGAAGTTTATTTTAGGGGATTTTATAATAGACTTAAAAATACCTTACATCGTTGAGTTCTGTCCAGAAGCAGCACATTACTCCATGTGCTGTAGATATAGGCAGATTTCATCATGAAATTGATTCCAAGAGCACTTGCTGGCTCTCTGGCAAAGTACTGGAAGATGCTATCTTCACTGAACAATGGAACAGATTAACTACAGCTGCTAGTTGTAGTTTCAGCCAAACATTCATTCACTAACAAATTCCTTTGACTGGAATAAAATGTAAAGGGAAATTGTTAGAAAAAAATGAAACAAAGGAAATTCAACCAAAATTAGAAAACTGGTGCCATTTGTAGGATTTTACTTTTATATTTTTATCACAAGGGAGGAAATTTAGGTGGTTAGTTTTCAAAGGTGTCATTCTTCTGAAGGAGGTCAACATCCCAAAGTGGGGAAAGATCTGCTTAACCTGAAAAGAAAGAAATGCCAAAACTAATAAATAAATGAATATCTTTTTTCAGGGAGATTTATTCTTTAAGAAGCAAACCTTTGTCAGTTTTATACCAGCTTCAGTATTTATCTGAATAGTATTTTTCTACTTCTTCCTATCCATCAGGCAAAGAGAGGAGATGCTTCTCTTTTCTCTGAAGCCAGCAGCAGCCCACCAATAAAGAATGTTCCAGTTACTTCAAGGTCAAATTTTGGTCACATCACTAATTTCACTGATTTAGGTGGGAGCAATTTTGTACTTAATATTTTTACAGAGTCAAGAACCTACCAATAATCTCTTCAGCATCCTAGGAAATAGACACTAATACATTAAGTTTCACCACATCCTTGGGTCGCCGCTAAAAAGAAGATCATCTCTGGTTCTTCAGGCTCCCTCAGAACTGAAAGGTCACCACCAGATTCCAGCTTTTTCAGTCTGCATTGGTTCTGCCCTCAGTTTGAAAGACAAGGATTGTAGCTCACAAGAAATATACCTCGGACAAAAATATGCCTGTATGGAAAGGGCTTATTATTTATTCCTACTGACAACAGATTCATTTCTATATGAAAACCAAGCCATTTGAGTAGGGAAGTAGCATAACCTGGCTTATTAAGACCATGCAGTTTCCTAACTAAATAATGTTTTATAACTTTTGAAACTGTGAGGAGATGTATCTTTGGTAGCTTTGTTACCCTAAAATGACCAAGTTTTAAAGTAGTGTAATAGTAAAAACAAGAAATCCTGAGGAAATTGGAGAAAAAAAGGGGGGAAAAAGCCCCAAAACTTTTTCACTGAGACTTGTAAGAAACTGTGGACAAATCCTAAAGTGAAACGAAACCAAGCCTATACTTCTGTGCCTGGGCAGCATGTTTGGCTTGTAGGTAGGCATCAGCTCTGGGGCTATTATATCATTTGAAAGTTGAGAAAAGTAATTACTGTTTCCTAAACTGATTAACTGTTCCTTAATGTCAGTGCTTAGAGAGTCATGCTGATTTAATCATGTTATCTCTTTACCTCCAGAGGAAGTATGCGCTCCATTACAAGATTGCTCTCATCATAAACTACCTGGGGCACTGTATATCAGTAGGGGCCCTTATAGTTGCCTTTATGCTTTTCTTGTGCTTGAGGTGAGTAGTCTGTTTGCATGCTTCTAACTTGATTGGGTCTGCGATACTTACTGGGTTACTCAAGCCCTCTAATAACACTGTCCAGGTCATGTATGGTGTTGAAAGATGGCCATGGCTTTTACACTCTCAAACATGTACATGGTTTCATTGGCTGGTGTATTGGAGGAGCTTCTGTGCATAGGACCTAAAGCCTGTTTGTATTCAGGAGGAGTACTGCACATGATTCATGAATGCAGCAAAAAATTCAGTGAGCACAGAGTGCTTCATTAAGGGAAACAGGGATTTGAGTGTGTCATGTTGCAAGTTTTGGGGGCAAGTTTTCCTTTTTCATAAGGCAGTGGATGGTAACATAAGGCATTTTGCATTCCCTGACAGCTAATACCCAGATCTAGACCAAAGGAGACAGAATGAAATCTTTCCATTTTGCTTTGGGTTAATTTCAATTTTTCTTTCATTAAAGATCTTAGAAGTTCTCTTAGATAACAAGAAAAACATCTTTGGAGTTGCTCTATCCCCTCCAGTGTTCATTAAATGATGAATGCAAATCAATGAAACTGCATAGAAACACTTCCCTTCCCTGCTTCAGTGGTACAGCAGGGAGTTTGTCAGGTCAAATGGATATGTCAGTGAAAGAAAGTCTGTGAAGAAGAGTTGGGGCTACAGGGAGAAGAGAAAGGACAGGAGGGAAGGAAACTTAGTGAAAAGTAATAGGTAGATGTGCATCAGTCATCATGTGTATTGTATGTACACAGCGTGAGTCACAGGAATATATTTCAGCA